GTGTTTCCCGGATGTATGAGTCTGCTTGGCTAGGTCCTGATTCTTGGTGGTTTAGCAGTCATACAATTGATGTGGTCCCCCTGTGTTGTATATTCTGTAAGTGGGACTGGGGTGGGCTGGATATTGAGTGCCACCTTTTAAGAACTGCTCACTACCTTACTGAAGTGAGCTTTGGTGGCGGAGGGGGTTATGCTGCTAACCAAAGGCCAGCCATGCTTCTGGCAGTTTGAATCCACCAGTAGCTCCATGGGAGAAAGATGGGCATTCACTTCCCATGTTATTTATAACCTCAGGAACCCAATGGAAGGTCACTTAGGAGCTGGTTCTGACTCACCCACAATGAGTTGACCTTAGTGAAGTTATGATCTTTTGTGACACTCTTTAAAGAGGGATAATAGGAGAGAGAAGTGAGTAAAACAAAAGGAACTTAACTACCAAACTAGCCAGAAGTGGAGTGTGTCCTTGACACTTGGAGTCCCTTTGCTGAGAACCTCCTGGTCCCGGGGGAATACTGATACACAGACAGAATCTCCAAGGAATACCAGGTCCACAGGCATTGAAAGGAGACAAGGGCCTTCCTCAAGAGCTTGACAGCAGAGAAAGGCCGACCCTAGAGCTGGCCCTTTGAATTTTGACACCCGACCTCCTAACCTGCAGGAGATAAGTTGTTAAAGGCAGAGACTTGGGGCATTTCTGTTATTGCAACACGAGATATGAATGTGGTCGTAGGAGTGGAGTGCTGCATTAATGACTACCTAAATGTGGAATTAGTTTTAGAATTGAGTAATGAACTTGGAAACATTTTAAGACACCTGATAGTAAAAGAAGCTTCTCTGGTGGCCTAGTCCAGAGGAAGTGGCCCTGCTAATCCAGAGGGTGTTGAACCATGAAAGAGCGAGGGCTGGTCAGCCTGAAATGCAAGGAGTTGTGTGGCCTCCTGAGCCTTCAGGTAGTGCTGCTGACATGTCCCATGAGGGGAAGGGAGGAACGGGACACAAGGGAGCTCAGGGAGGTGTGCAGACTCCTCGATAATGGCTCGTGCCTGCTGACCCCAGTGCACGGGGCATGGGGACAAGCTGACTGGACCTGACTAAGCAAACAGGAGGCGGCGGGCACTGAGCTGGCATTGATTGGTGCGGGTCATGGTTTGCCCCAGGCCAGACTTTGCTTATGGGTACACATACTCCAAGTTCGAGCTAGAACAGTCGGAGATTTTGAGTTTGTAATGAAGTTACTCTCTCGGTAAGGAATGGCATTGTTAACCCAAAGGCAAGCGGTGCTCGACGAGGGAAGGATGGGTCCTTTTCTTCTGTGTGATTTTCGTTGTTGTGTGCCCCTAGCTGACACTCCAGCAGGTAATAGTAAATAACACAGGCGGGGTAGATTTGAACCACTTGTTTTTGCAACTGCAACACAACTCATCACTAGATCACCAGAGCTCCCTGCCCATGCGATTGATAACCTCTGAAAACCTGCTGCAGGGTCAGCTGTGAGTTGGTTCCAAATCCATGGTAATGAATGAGTCAAGTTCAGAATTGGGGATGATAGGATGAAGTGAAGGTGTTCTGTTTGTGGCAAGAACATGCATTTTTTAGGGAGCCCAGTCATGAATTGTGTTCCCCCAAAATATATGCCCATTTGACTAGGCCATCACTCTCAGGTGGTGATTATACGTTAGAGCCCTGCACGTGTGGTGTTTGTTAGAGCAGCTCCCTGTGACCTTTCCTCCCAGCTCCTCTGTGCCTTAAACTTCTAGTTTGGGGATTCGATTGTTCAAGATCAGCAGCTCCACTCCTTGCAATCCCAGGATCCCCTAGAGCAGCAAGATGAGCTCTGAAGACGGCTCCAGACTGTTAGGCTGGATCTGAGGCAGCTAATGACATCGTGGCAGTGATGATTTGGACACTGTACTGTGGGCTGTTTCCTTAACGAACGCACTGTTGTGGATACTGCAGAGGGTGATAACCTCAGCCTAAAACCCCTGCGTTCGCCCCTGCGTTCGCAAAGCTTCTATTGCATAGTGGAAAGGCCAACAACGCAAGAGAGAACGAACATATGCTGTATGTCAGAAGGTGGCAGGTGCTGTGAGGAAGAGGAAACAGGAGAGGGAGGAGGTATTTGGCCTCTGTATTCATGAGCCAGCCTGGCCTGCCTTCCGCAAGCTGAGCAAGTAGGGGCTTAGGGAGCTCATGGTACGGCTGGAGTCTGGTGAGGGGAACGGGAGGTGATAAGCAGTGGGGGCTCTGAGTCAGGAGGAGGCGCTGACCGGGCTGCTCTGTTGAGAACAGAATGCTGCATTCAAGGTGTTCACCAGAGGGGCCTGTGGGGACACTGGCAAGCAGATGGGATGTGGTGATGGGGAACAGGCTGGCCGAGCTACGCACAGAAGTGCTGGATCCTAGATCTTGAAGTTGGAGCCCGGGGTACTGACTGTTGGCTTAGACAGGTGTGAGGAGGAAGTCCAGGTTGCAGAAGCTGTGGCTCGAACAGCTGAAAGGCCAACTTATGGGCCAAGCTAGGGGTTGAGGTTTGTATGGGGGTTATCGAGATCCCCGAGAGCAGGTAGTGCGAGTAGCCTAAGAGCAGAAGCTGTCCCGGGCTGGAACAGGGTTTGTGCAGGCCACTGGTTTTGGGGAGGGCCAGTGTCGGTACCAGCTTTCTGCAGATTGCAGTGGCATCTACAGGATGGGGGCTGGGTGGTTTGGTGGTCTGACTTGGAGATGAGAAGAGGATGCTGTGGCTGGGTAGGAGGGAGAAAAGGGGAGGTGGGACTAAGCAGACCCATGACCAGTCAGTGCCTGGGGAGTGTGGAGCTGAGTGTGACCTTTGGGGTTTCTCCTTGGCCAGCCCTGAATGGGCTGGGTGTTGATGGGCTGTGGGTGTCCTTTCTGCAGGACCTCCACAAAAAGTACTCGTACATCCGGAAGACCAGGCCTGACGGGAACTGTTTCTATCGAGCATTTGGATTCTCCCACTTGGAGGCATTGCTGGATGACAGCAAGGAATTGCAGCGGTGAGGCGGGTGGGCACCTGGACACCGAGGAGGTGGGTGAGGGCTCCCCTTTTGATCAAGAGGTGGATGTTCCACAGGCCAGTCTGACGGGCTGGGTTCCCACTTGAGGTGTTTCTTGTGAGCTGGGACAGCATGGTGCTGGCCGTGCCCCTCATCTCTGGGCTGGCCCCTCTGGGCCCCCTCACTGTTGGCCAGAGAACCCATGCTGGCTTGTCCTCTCCCAGGTTCAAGGCTGTGTCTGCCAAGAGCAAAGAGGACTTGGTGTCCCAAGGCTTCACTGAGTTCACAATTGAAGACTTCCACAACACGGTGAGCCCCCGCCCTGAGTGATTGACCCGGGCACAGCGAGGCCCATGGCTTTGGGGCTTGTAGTCCACTTTCTCCCTCATCTTGCTTTTTAAAAAAATTTTTATTTTATTTTATTGTGTGTGTGTGTGCGTGCACTGTTAAATCAGATCTGACTGGTACAGTAGGAGATTGTTCCTCCTTCTCCAGCAGAGCATCTGGTGGATTTGAACCGTGCACCTCTGGGATTGCAGTATACCTTCTTGCCACTAGGCCACCAGAGCTCACCCTCATCTTGCTTTTTATTGCAGTTCATGGACCTGATTGAGCAGGTGGAGAAGCAGACTTCAGTCGCTGACCTGCTGGCTTCCTTCAACGACCAGAGCACCTCTGACTACCTGGTGGTCTACCTGCGGCTGCTCACATCTGGCTACCTGCAGCGCGAGAGCAAGTTCTTCCAGCATTTCATCGAGGGCGGGCGGACCGTCAAGGAGTTCTGCCAGCAGGTGCTGCCCCTCTCTGTTTTTCTCAGCCTATAAGTTGGGTGGCACCCAGTCCTAGGAGTGCAGAGGGTTCAGCAGGGGTTGGGGCACTGAGATCTGACCTGCATCTGTCAAAACCTGTCACAGGAGGTGGAGCCCATGTGCAAGGAGAGCGACCACATCCACATCATCGCCCTGGCCCAGGCCCTCAGTGTCTCCATCCAGGTGGAGTATATGGACCGCGGCGAGGGCGGCACCACCAACCCGCACGTCTTCCCTGAGGGCTCCGAGCCCAAGGTCTACCTTCTCTACCGGCCTGGCCACTACGACATCCTCTACAAATAGGGCCAGCCGGCCGCTGCTGCCCGCTGCCCTCCCTGCTGCCAGGCGCCAGACATGTACAGAGGTTTTTTTTGTGGTTGTAAATGGTCGTATTTCACTCCTCCCCTTTTTTCTGTCACACCACCTTCCATGTTTTATTAAAGGGGATGCTGGTGGTGAGTTGCGTGTGTGCGTGTCCCTGCTCTGCCCCCCACCTGCCTGGCTGCTGTGTGTCTGCCTGTCCCCCTTCCCTGGGTGGGTCCCTCCTTGCCCTCCACCCCCGAGTCTCCCCATCAGGAGCAGTTATGAGAGGCCAGGCCTCTTGGGGTCCATTCCTTGTTACCTCTACCCTCCAGCCCAGAGATTGAGGGAATCCTGAAGGTCCTTGGAGACCTACCCATGTAGGTCCTGCCTGCACCCTGTACTCCTGACCCTAGACCCTGCACGGGTCTGCATGGTTGGAGAGGGTCCATATAGAGGGCCTCAGTGATGGTGGGAGCCCCCTGAAGGCGGGCAAAGGAGCAAGGGCCCCCACAGTGCACCAGGCCTTGGAGTGGGAGGGGCAGCTCAAGGTCTGGACAGGACTTACCCATTCACCCTCCCCCCCACACCCAGCTCAGCAGTCCCTGCCTGTGCCTGCTTTGCACCCCTGCTTGGGTCTCTCTGCACTGCCTCCCTTTCACTCCACTCCTCTCCCACCCCAGCACATGCGGGGTCTCAGCCCCCAGGCTGTGAGCTCCTTGGGGGCAGGCCCTCAATAAATGTGAAGTGCTGCTGCCTGCCTCTGCCGTGGCCTGCGCCTCCACCTCCTCAAGACACAGGGTGGGCTCCAGCATTACCAGGGCGCCCTCCTCCACTCAGTCAGCGCCCAGACAGGAGCTGCAGCTAGGAGATCTTTATTAGGGGGCTGAGGCCAGAACAGGTGGCCAGGCCTCCAGGCCCAACTGCAAACTCAGCGACCTCTCTTCAGAGCTGGGAGCGTGGTCCTGCTGGTGCCAGAGGGTCTGAGGGCAGAGGAGGAGTCAGAGGGGTTAGGAAGAGCGAGGGCTGTGCCTCTCAGCCCCCCAGGCTGCTCCCTAATCCCCGGCCTCTGCGTGGGGGTGAGCGTGCAGGCAGTGGGTGTGTTAGTGGGTGGGCGTTAGTGGGGAGCACACGGGCCAGCCTCTGCTTACCGTCCCGGCAAGGTGGGCATCGGGCGTCAGGCTGGAAGGCAGAGGACAGTGAGGGCCCGCTGGGGGTGGGCCAGGGGTGGGCAGGGCTGCGGGCGGGCCAGGGGACACGTACCTACGGGGAAGTAGTGCGGGAGCCGCTGCCTGTAGATGTCCTCGTCCTTCTCCAGGAACACGCAGATGACCAGCCGATCCACCTGCACGAGGGGCAACTCAGCCCGGGGAGGGTCTCTGCTTGCTCCCGAGTCACCCAGCCCTGTCCCCACCTCCTGTCCTGTGGCCGCCCCTCTGCCCCTCACTGGGACCAGACCCCACCTTGTCCTTGTGCTGCTCCAGCCACTCCCGTAGTGTGGTCAGCACCACCTCGGCGGCCGCCTCATTAGGGTAGCCTGGGGGCGGGACGGGTGCTGGTGAGGCTCCGCCCCCTGTCAGCCAAGGCTCCGCCCACACGCATCCCCGCCCGAGCCCCGCCCCCCCGCCTGCCCGGAATCCACTCACCGAACACCCCGGTGGAGATGCAAGGAAACGCCTGGGGGGCGGGGGGGACACACAGGATGCAACCCCGTGAGTCCTTCGCGCTTCGCCCACTTCCCCCGAAGGCCCGCCCCGACCCCCGGCCCACTCTCACCACTGAGCGGAGCCGGTGCTCCAGCAGCAGGTCCAGGCTGCACTGGTAGCAACTGCGGAGCTCGGCCACCTGGCTGGCGGTGGGTTCGCCGTGGGCAATGGGCCCCACCGTGTGGATGACATCTGCGGGGGGTGGGCTGCGTCAGCCTGGCCCGAGGGGCAGGAAATGCCTCTGGCGGACACCCTGCAGAAGCAGGCGCATGGCGTGCCCCAGCCTGAATCCGCTGATGACACTGATGGGTGAGGCCAGGCCATGATGGACACCCACAGGCTATTTGCTGCGCCCTCCCCAGGTGATCTGGCCGGACGTGGTGTAAACCGGTGTCTGGTGTGAATGAGTCAGAGGCCAGGCCTCCACTGCCCCCAGCCTCCACCTCTACACGGGCCGCTACCCTGCCCCACCCTCCACTCACTCCTCGTGTCCATCATGTCAAAGAGGTAGGTTCAACCATTTAGGGTTAAGAAGTGCCCCTGTAGTTCTGTGGGTGTCGCACTCCTAGACTCATATACAGGCGCTCCACCATATCCGAGCAGGAGTGCTGAGGGGCAGGGCACGCATCTGTGCCCCACGAGGGCAGGGTGTCCCTCTAGGACTCACACTTGGCCGGCAGGCGGTAGCCGCAGGTGATCTTGGCCTTGCCGGTGTCACAGCTCTGCAGGGTGCGGCACTCATCGGTGAGCAGCGGCCCCGCGGCCCGGTGGATGCAGCCGTCCACTGCAGGGGCAGAGGAGCAGGCTGTGACCTCCTGCACCCGGAGGCCCCGGGACAAGGCAAAGCTTATAGATCAACGATCCCCAACCCAGAAGAGACCCCGTCGGCGGCTCTGGAGCCCACCAAGCATCACTCGGTCACCCCGCACCTCCTTGTGCACCCGAGGAGGGAATTCCCGCTCGGAGCTGCCTCCCGGTCCGGCGGGCGGGGCGCTGGCCAGCAGGGGGCGCGCGCGGACCACCTGCTCCTCCCGGCTGCGCGCGGGGCCTCCGCGGGGACGCAGCCCGAGCCGGGCGGAGCCCAGCGGAACCCCGCGGCCCATGCGCCCCGCTCTGCCCGAGGCGAGGCTCACTTTCCGGCCAGCCTCATCCTGCAGTCCGGGGCTGACCCCCGCATGCTCGGACCCTCTTTGCTGATGAGGAAACTGGGGCCACGTCGTTACAAGTGGCCGGTCCCGGGTTGCACTGGGTCCTCCGGCCGCGTCCTGCACCACGCAGACCGGGACCGCGAGTCCTTGCCACGCAGGTGTCCCTGGGCGCGGGGCCCTGTCTTAACGAGCAGCCTCGTTAGCGAAGCCGAGTTAATTGGGGCCAGGCCTGGGCTTGTTTATGTGAAGGCGGCTCCCGGGCCTCAAGACCCACCCTGGGGACCTGGGCCCAGAAAAACAAGTCAGGCGCTGAGCGCTGAGTGAGGCGCCCAGCTTCTCCCTGGACACGGGGCTCTAGCCTCAGGCGGCCTGAGTTCATTCAAGTGCTTTTCCACCTCTGAGCGACAGTTAGAAAACTGACCCCTCAGGGGAGGAGCTGGGGGCCTGGCCAGGAGAACTTGAACCTAGTCCAGCAGATTTTCTTCAGCTATTTTGTTTTCTCCTGTAGTCTTGAATTTTCTTTTTTTAATTAATTTCAGTGAACATCTACAGAGATTTTGGATTCATTCATTCATTGTTGCACTTTTCTCCCCGCCCACTCCACCTCCACACCCAGTTCGCCTTCTTGAAAAGCAAAAGAAAAACTTGAATTTTTGATTGCTCAGAGCAGATTCCACAAAATATTTCAGGAGGGCAGGATGGGAGATTGACGTTGGCGAAGACCTCTGGGACGGGGTCCATTCCATCCCTTTCTCTCCTGTCCGTGGGTCTCACACAAGGGTCCAGGGGTACAGTGGGAAGCCTAGTGTGTCTTTCTTGGAGGGGGCTGGGAGGTGCTCACCCAGCAGGTCAGAAAAGGTGGCGTTCTAATCCCAGCTCCACTAGTCACAGCTGTGGGACTGACACAGGCTTCATCACTTAACCATGCTTTGTCTCATCTACTAAATGGGAACACGTTTGTTGCTGTGAGATGCCATCAAGTCGAGTACACCTCATAGTGACCCTGTGCCGTCCTCACTATCTGACACACTCAAGCCCACTGCTATAGTCACTGTCCATCCATCTGGTGGACGGTCTTCTCTTTCACTGACTGACCCTTCACCTTTCCAAGCATGATCTCCCTTTCCAAGAAATAGCCTCTCCCAGCAACATGCCCAAAGTATGGGAGATGAAGCTTTATTTTTGCCTCCAAGGAGCACTCTGGCTACACCTTCTCCAAGACATATCTATTTGCAGTTTTGATGGTTTGTGGGATACTCAATACTCTTCTCCTAAGACAAAGCTCAAAAGCATCAATTCTTCCACCACCTTTATTCATTGTCCAGCTCTCAGAGGCACAGCAAGTAACTGAAAAGGCCATCCTGAGGCAGGTGCACCTTAGTCCTCAAACTGACACCATTGCTCTTTAATAATTTCACGAGGTCCCTGTCTGCAGTCAGGGATCATAGTAGTACTCACCTAATAGTAGTAGGGCTCAGGGTGCTTAAGTCAGTGTGAACGACTGTGACCAGCGCTGGCTGTCACAATGAGGGGGAGAGTTTGGGCATGTTCAGGCAGGGGTGTTCTCCACACAGTGTGTACTGGTGTCCGAGTTTGCAGGTGAGCACAGGGATTGTCTAAGCTCATGCTCCTTGGGGCTCTCCTCAGCACAGGACTGTCTTCCGGCACTAAAAGCCCTGTAGGCGACCTTGACCGACTGCAATGTCCCTGCGGAAGTAGAGCTCAGCAAGATCTGCATCTCAGGGACTTAATGTTTCCTGTGGAAGTGACTGAACGGGCCTGCAGCCAGGCCTTTGGGGCTGAGCTGGGGGCACATGCCGGGGTGAGGGAGAGGTCTGGGACTGGACCCCCTCCAGGGTACACCCAGGCCTGGGTCATGATTCCTCCAGAGGATGGTTTCTCAGTGCAGAGCAAGGTCTGGACATAGGCTCTGCCATGTCCCCCTAGGGAATGGGGGTCCAGACTGGCCTGGCATTCAGAGACTCGGCTGCCTGGTTGCCACTGGCCTGTTGCACCCTTCCCTCTCTAAACACTAGCCTATGGCTTCCCCTGAGCCCCCAAATATCAGAGGACCTCCCTTCAGCTGCTAGCCTGCTCCAGCCCTGCTATCCTTAGCCACAGACCTACAGGGGTACCCTGTTCTCTGTGCTGCTTGGAATTCTGCTGGTTTTGCCCTCACTTGAGGCCGAGACCAAACCCTTCCTCCACCTGTGGCCAGGAGCATCCCTCTGGTGCCCCTGCCCCCTCAAGCGCCAGTCCAGGCCTCCTCGACGCCCCCTCTGCTCTGACTTCTGAATACCAGCCACTGACAGCTATTATGCAGCACCTGCCATCTAGCTTGGTCCTCAGAACAGCTCTGAGAAAGCCTAGAATTTTCCTCGATTTATGGAGGTATAAATGGGCACAGAGAGGACGTGATGCTTCCTCAGGGCCACAGTACTGGACTCCAGGAGGCTGGGTTTCCAGGCTCAGCGGCACTACTTTGTCCAGGACTCTAAAAGGGCTCACCTCTCCCTGACCTCCTCCCTACCTTTGCTGTCCAAGTCTCCGCTGCCTCACCAGGCACTGGGAAGGCGTCGTCTAGAGCTGCTGTCCATCCCTCGGCCCTCCTCAGCCAGATCTTGCAGCTGGACTCCTGTGCTCTGCCCCTCCATCAACACATCTCTCTCCAAAAGGGATACTTTGGGGACATTGCTGTCTCATGAGGCTGTTTCTCTTACGCTGGCCCTTTCTGGGTCATTCAAATGCTCCCCACATCCCTGACCTCAGCCCTCATCTAGTCAGATGCCCACTGTGGAGATAGCCCTCCTCTCCCACTCGGACCCCTGAACGGTCTTCTGTTTCCTTCAGGACCTCCTCTTCCTCACTCGCTCCTTGGAGTCCTGAAGTCCCGTTTCTTCCTGAGCCAGGGAATGTGGCCATGAGCAGGCCCCCTGTCTCAGCGCCTAGGCCCCAAGTACTTCCTGCGGGGGGAGGCCCTGACAGGGTGTGGCCCCTGCTCACAGTGTCCACCCCTCATACACACCCTGGCCTCTGTGCCCTGTACTTGCCTCGACCTCACCGAGGTCCCCGGGGGTCTGCTCCCGTGTGGGCTGCCCTTGGAGACCTCACTGTCAGGTTCAGACTTGTTCTCATGTTCCCACCATGTGTGAAAGAAAGGAGAAGGGGGCTGAGCGAGCCCTGGACGAGGCCCTGGGCAGGTGGCCAGAAGCCAAGCAGCCTTCTGTGGGGGCCAGTGCACCCAGGCACTTAGGATGTGTGGCCGCTATTTAGGATGCTGTAATATTCATGAAGGGAAGATTAGATATTTAAATTTATTCAGCAATAAATGCGTCTCAGTGGGGGAGCATTCCTCATGCTAAACAAACAAGCAAGCAGGGGCTAATTAATTATTTACGGGAACACGAGGAGGCCTGTGGCCTGAAGGTGGGGGGCGGAGGGGGGACAGCCGTGCTGGTGCCAAAGGGCAGGGAACCCTGACAGCCCAGGGATCTCCCTCCTCTCCTCACCCCGCCCCTGCCACCCTCCAACACCCTGCGTGCCTTTTGGTGGTTTCTCCTTCCTGAAATCCTGGCTGCAAGCTTGCTGGTGGCTTTGGATGAGTCCCTTAACCTCTCTGAGCCCCAGGGAGTGGTGGGGAGGACTGAGGGATTCTTGGGTGGCCAGGTGGGTCCTAAGCAAGAGGCAGAGGGACTGCGAGCCTCCAGCCTTCGACCCTCAAACTCCTCTAGCCACCCTTAGAAATGTGGGAGGTGGGTGAGGAGCTCTGGTGGCCTAGTGGTGAGAAGCTGCACTGCAATCCCAGAGGTACAGGGTTTGAATCCACCAGATGCTCTGCTGGAGAAGGAGGGGCAATCTCCTCCTGTACCAGTCAGATCCGATTTGATGGTACACACAAAGACACACACCACCCGCAAGAATAAAAAAAAGAAAAGATATGTGGGAGGTGGAGGCCCAGAGGAACTAAGTGACCTGTCTAAGGTCACACACGAAGGAGGGGAGCAGGCCCTAAGACTCTTATGTTGTTGTTGTCTTGTACTGTCAAGTTGGAACAGATTCATAGCTAACTCCGCAGGGGGTTTTCTGAGGCTGTAAATTGAAAGAGACAAGACTGCCCATCTTTCTCTCATGAAGCACCTGGTGGATTTGAACTGTGTACCTTTATGTTGGCAGCACAACTCCTTACCAGTAAACCACCAGAGAGAGATCCCTAAGATATTACAAAGCAGACAAAGGTCCAGAGAAGTGGCGCTCCCTTCCACCACCTTGTCCCAGGAAGTCTCACGCCCTACTCTCTGCTCCTCTGACTTTCTTGGGCTCCCGTGGGTCCCCAGAGCCAGGAAGTGAGAGGAAGGGGCCCCGTCATGCTCCTAGGCAGATTCCCTAGCCTCATGACTCAACTTCCCACCTCTAAGTGAGCACCTGGTGACTTTGGGGGACATGTTGCTGGGGACACAGTAGACCCCCAGCCTTGAGAGACACAAATCTGAGGAACCTCCCACACCCAGTGCTCCCGTCTCCCCCAGCAACTCAATCGGTGACCTTCGCCTCTCTGTGCCTCAGTTTCCCCATATGTACAATGTGACCCTCCTTGCTTGTCATGGGCCCTCAGATACACTCCTTTCACAGGTAAGAG